GTAGGTAGGCGAGCCCGAGCGGAGAGGAGGCAGCGTCCCCGGGCCCTTGCCTTTGTTTTCCCCCGAACGGATTAAAGCCGCTGTCATGCACGGGGCGGCGCTGGGCATGCAGGGTGCCAGATCGTAGATAGGAAGGGCGGCGCCTGGGCGTGGTCGGTCTTTGTGGCACATCATGATCATATAACTCCTCTTTTAATGGGGCATCGCGGCGGGGGGGTGCCAGGTGGGCGGCCGCGGTGCCATGCTATCCATCACGGCGGGACAGTGCCACGTTATTGTGGGGGATAAGACGGTGCCATATGTCCCTCTCGCGATGGCACGCTGTCATGCTTGGGGCAGCTGTGCCATGCCATGTGCCACAATGAGACAGTACAAACACAATGTTTAGGATGGCACTGATTCTTGCTATTTCCTTTTTGGTTGTTTTTTTTGTTGCTTTTTTTTAGCCCACGATAATTGTTTTTGATGACGGGAATGACAATGGGGCCGAGCTATTGTCCACGAAAACATTACCATGTGATTGTCCCGAGCTTTTGTTCAGGGAAACATTGCCACGTGGTTTTGCAGGATCAGAGTTTGCTTTTTCGTGATTATTATTTTATTGTCTTCCTTGTTATGTTGTTGGTTTTGCTTCCTTCTTCTTCTTCATCTTCTTCTTTAGTCTTTTTCTTTCTTTTTTTTCTCCTCCTCTTTATTCTTCAATTTCCTCTTCTCTTTTCTTCTTCTTCTTCTTTGTTTTTTTCTTCTTCCCCTTCTTCTTCAACTTCTAATTCATATTCTTTTGATGGATATCATTAGTGATTTAGTATTTGTTATTCCATGGTACTATCTTCACGTTATTCATGAAGAGATTTCTTTGTGTTTCTTCGTGTGTATGTGTGTGTGTATGTGTGTTTGTGTGTGTGTGTGTGTGTGTTTCTTCGTGTGTATGTGCGTGTGTGTGTGTGTGTATGTGTGTGTGTGTGTGTTTGTGTGTGTGTGTGTGTGTGTGTGTGTGTGTGTGTGTGTGTGTGTGTGTGTGTGTGTGTGTGTGTGTGTGTGTGTGTGTGTGTGTCTGTGTGTTTTATATATCCTTGTGTATGTCTGTCTGTTTAAGTCCTTCCAAGGGCGACTTCCTTTGTTATTCCCATGCATACCCATGCAGGTGTGTTCTCGCATGTGTGTATGTATGCTGCATGACGGAATTCCAGCGCTGCAATTCCCGCAAACAGCCCAACCAGCTTTGCAAGTGCAGCCATGTAAGTGCTGCAAAGTCCTACACTCGGCGGCGGATGTACATGGTGCCAAGTTGCCATTCGTCATGCGCAGTAAAGGGGGGTGGGAGGGGAGGGGCTAAGAGGGGGGGGTGAATATGGAGGAGAGGGGATGGGACGGGATGGGGGGGAGAGAGGGGATAGGAGGGGGTGGGGGGATAGGAAGGAGAGGGGGAAGAACGAAGGAGAGGGAGTGAATAGAGGGGAGAGGGGAGAGAGAGTTAACAGGGAGGGGAGGGAGGGAGGGAGGGAGGGGAGAGTAAACAGTAAGGGAAAGGGGATAGAGAGAATAAAGAAGTCAGAGGAGGATAGTGAACATGGAGGGGGGGGGGGGGGAGGGGAGAGTGACCAGAGAGGGACGGGGAAATGAACAGGGAGAGGAAGGAGAAAAAGCGAACGGGAAGGAAGAAGGGAAGAGAGTAAACAGAGAGAGTAAGGGATATAGAAAAGGAGAGAGTGAACAGGAAGGGAAGAGGAAGAACATGAACAGGAAGAGAGGGGAAGAGCATGAAGAGAGGGAGGAAGGAGGGAAAATGAACAGGGAGGAAGAGGGGGTGAGAGAGTGAACAGGAAAGGGAGGGGGGAAATAAAGGGAAAGGGAGAATGAATAGAGAGAGGAAGGAGAGAACGGGAACAGGAAGGAAGAGAGAGAGAGAGAGAGTAAATATACAGAGTAAGGGGGGGGAGGATAGAATAAACAGAGAAAATAAGGAAAGGGGGGGAGGAGACTATGAACAGGGAGAGACTGAACGAATTGTGCACAGGGGGAGAAAATGAACAAGGAGGGGAAGAGAGGGGTGAAGGGTTAGGGAGGGGTGGGGGAGGGGTAGTGCCTGATAACAGGGCCACGTGAGGCACCTAGCTCTTTGTTATCGATTGCCTGGTCAAGTTGCAGATGTAGACGCGAAAGGTCTTGTTCTTGCAATGACGGGAGTGTTGTTGCATCGCTGTTGCTAAGTTGCAGGTTCGTAATGCATGATGCTGTGTGTTAGGTGGCTGGTGGATGTGTCCTGTGTAGTGTGGCTGTGTGGTATACGAAGGTGTGGTGTGTTAGTAGCCCGCGTGATGTTCTGCGGTAGGTTATGTCCGTGTCCTTTGTGATATGTTCGGGATTTTGTGGTGTTTGTGTCCCATATATTGTGACGTCGGTGCCCCATAGTGTGGTATGTTGATGTCCTGCATGGTTTGTCCTTTGTGCTATGTTCTACTCGTTATGGTTGGTGGTTTTCATAGTGTGATATTAAAGTATGATTTGTAACGTTGGTGTAACTGTATGTTGTTATGTTGATGCACTATATGTTGTCATTGATGTTATTTATGTTGATGTAATGTATGTTGTTATGTTGATGCACTATATGTTGTCATAGATGTTATTTATGTTGATGTAATGTATGTTGTTATGTTGATGCACTATATGTTGTCATAGATGTTATTTATGTTGATGTAATGTATGTTGCTATGTTGATGCGCTATATGTTGTCATAGATGTTATTTATGTTGATGGAATGTATGTTGTTATGTTGATGTACTATATGTTGTCATATATATTATTTATGTTGATGTAATGTATGTTGCTATGTTGATGTGCTATATGTTGTCATAGATTTTATTTTATGTTGATGCAATGTATGTTGTTATATTATATGTTGTTATCTTGATGTCATAGATGTTTTTATGTTGATGTAATGCATGTTGTTCTGTTGATGTGGCATCCCTTATATCATGCCCTACATACTGTATTGTTAGTGCCCTATATACTATTATTTGATGCGCTACATAGAGTGATGTCTTCTGATTTCGGATGTCAGTATGTGTTATTGAAGAAGCCAGATAGATTTTGTTCGTGTCCTATTTAAGTGTTCGTTTATAGTGCCATATCGGTGTCCTATATATTATGATATCTTAGCTATTGTCCCATATACTATGGTGTTGATACCCCATATATTTTGGTGTTATCTTACATATGGCCATGCTGCTTCTGAATATGGTTATGTTGTCTCTGCATATTGGTATGTTGGGCCTGTATATTGTGTTGTTTAGTGTCCTATATATTGCAGTGTTAGTGCCCTAGATATAGCGAGCGTTTTGCCCTTAATATTTTGGTATTGTGTTTCCAGATTCTTTGTGTGTGTGTGTGTGTGTGTGTGTGTGTGTGTGTGTACATAGTGTATATGCAAATGTATTTACTGCATTTACTTATTCTTGGTTCCATTTTAATAACAATCTATTTTTGTGGGTGCGTGTATGTGTGTGTGTGTGTTAAAATGATGTTTTATTTATTACTAATTTACGATCATAGACATTTCGAAAACGGGTACAGCTATCACCGTGTTCGGATGTTATGTAATGTTATAAAAGGTCCAGTAAATATTTATCTCTTGCACATATAGTCTGCGGTGTCTGCCTGATCCACCTGAATTTGCGATGCTAAACTTTAATAGGCTTAGTTATATCAGAGTTCCCGCTTATAGGCCTACTTAGCTCGTGAGTGTTCCGAGAGAGTTAAAAGTTAAAATGCAACAGTTGGCTAAAAGTTAAAAAAAAAAAAGTTCATAAGAGCGAGGTTAAATTTGTTAGTTTACGAAGCGAGGGAAATGTAGATGAGAGGAAATAGGAAGTAAGGGTAGAGAAAGGAAGGAAGGGGAGAGAGAGAGAAGAAGGGGAACAGGAGGGAAGAGAGAGAGAGGGAATAATAGGGGAAGGGAGGAGTGAAAAGACACGGAATGACGATAGGAAAAGAAAATACGGAAGAGAGAGAAGGAAAAGTGAGGGGAGAAATTTGTGAACGAGGAGAAAGGCAAAACAAAAGAGGGAGGGAAAGTAAGGAAGGAAAGAGCAAGGAAAACGCAAGCGTCAAGGGGACATCGAATGATAATAGTAAAGATAAAAGAAAGATGAGGAAGGGGGAAAGGGGAGAGAAGGTAGTGATTCAGGGGCTAAGTGAAAATACAGGAAAATTATGAAAGAGAGAAAAGGAAGAGAGAGAAAGAGACGCAGACACAGGCACGGAAAGTAAGAAAGAAAGAAAGAAAGAAAAGAAAGAAAGAAAGAAAGAGAAACAAAGAAAGAAAAAGAAAGAAAGAAAGAGAGCAGAGAAATAAAAGACTGAAAACAAAGAAAAAATAAAGAGAGAAGAAAGAAGAACAGAAAGAAAGGAAGAAAGAAAAAGCAAGTAACCAGATTAGCATCTGATTTTAAACACACCTAAACCCGCCCTTTACACGCTCACGCTTACGCACACAGGGGACTATGCAGCAGGAAAGGAGAGACGACCAGATGGGAGTGAAGCAAAGGCAAGACAGAAGCAAGATGATATATGTGTATGTATATGTATATGTATATGTATATGTATATGTATATGTATATGTATATGTATATGTATATATATATATATATATATATATATATATATATATATATATATATATATATATATATATATGTATGTATGTATGTATGTATGTATGTATGTATGTGTGTATGTATGTATGTGTGTGCCTGTTTGTGTGTGGGTGTGTGTGTATGTATGTATGGATGTGTGTATGTATGTATGGATGTGTGTGCGTGCGTATGCATGAGTGGAGAGAGAGAGAGACAGAGAGACAGAGAGAGAGACAGAGAAAGAGAGACACAGAGAGAGAGAGAGAGATAAAGAGGGACAAACACCACTAAAGACCTGTGCCCCAACCGAAGTCCCGGCTTCGGTAATTCCATAAGGTCGGGAATACCTTGACAACGAGACGAAAC